TCAAAATTTTATCTTCAAATTTAATCTTCCTAACATTACCCATTGACCTAAAGATACAATTAAAATGGCACAAGGGCAAGCGGAAATGGATTTACACTAAACACACAATAGGTATGTGTTGGTAATGTGGTCAACAAAATATCTCACTTAAAAAGTTGGTAATTTTTTTGGTGCACTACGCACATTGTTTTTGGGATTCCACAAGAATCTGCATCCGTCGCTACTAATTGTGCCTCCCTTGACCGAACTTTCTAGCTTCGCCATAAATACATATATACTTATCACCGAATTTCCCCTTCATAAAAACGATTACCTAGCAAAAGATTTATAGCTTAGATGGATTAAAGTTCTCTATCAAATTCGGGTTCAACTTTTCCCTTTTAATATCGGTGGCACAGAAACAATCATATTAAAGTACGCATTTGATTATGCACAACACTTCACCGTACACGCTTTCTTCTGCATAGTCTAAGTAGTATAAACGTGCTGGTCAGATAACAATAATCAATATATACTGCTGTACTTCATAATATATGCCCTCCCACTTTCTATACACTCTCATTCTTTTTTATTTGTGCAGTCACAGTTAAGTCATGTTAATATTTTATATTACTATTGTTTTTTGTCTTATTATCTTTATAAAAAAATCAATATAAAATGTTGATGTGGCTTAACCGTGACCGCATAAAATAAGAATGAATGAGAGTATATGAGAAGTGGGATGGCAGAGAAGCCGGATCCATAATATATGTAGTCAGAAACAAGCATGATACCCACATGTCTATTTATAGCAGCCTACCCATCAGAAGAATTGTGGAAGCAAGAATATGTTTAAATATGTGGCTCTGATTGTAGAGGGAGATGGAGGAAGAAAACTTTTGTCTGGTAACGGGTTTGAAGGAAAAATTTGGATGTTTGGTTACAATGATAGCAAGGTTTTTTAAGAAAATTAGAGGAAATTGTTATTAGCTATCCAAAAATCTCATTCTACACTCATTACAAGTGTATTTTTCTTTCTAATTATAAAAAAAAAATTAAAGTGTAAAATGAGATTTGGAGTGTCATAACACTTCCCAAATTAAAATGACAGGTATTTTTAATATTATTGGACCACTGGTACAAAACGAGTAAAATTGAACACTGACTAATCAGTAACTGTATATTATAATTCGACATATCTATATGGAATAATATTTGGCTATCAAAGGATGAGTAGAAGTTTCTACTTAAAACTGTTCGTTATCTATTCATAGAATTTCGTGCTTATGATCGAATCTTTTCATATTATAAATCACTCTATAAAAATCGTCTCTGCAAAAAAATCAATTAAAACTAAAGGCGTTAAGTCATCTAATTATATAAAAATAGATGAACGAAATTTGTAAAAACATTACGAACGATCTATATATTTCTGCAATAGATTAACTAAACGACCTTAGTTTTAATTCATTTTTGCGGAGATAATTTTTGCAAAGTAATTCATAATATGAACGGTTCTGATCATAAACACAAAATTTTGTGTTTTAAGCACAAAAAATTTTGAATACGAATCCTTACTCATTTTTTAATACCCAAACATTATTGCTTTATTAATGCGTCAAACTTTTTTAGTGCAAGTAGGTTGGTTTATTGAATTTCAATCAACCACTTCACTAATGTTATGACTACTATTGGAGCCAGAGCTGATAATTAAAAGTCTCCAGACAAATTCAGGCTGGAATTGTTTTGTGATCTTTCAACTCTGAAATGTTTATTAGAAGTAGGGTCAGTTATATCGATATAATATTGTCTAACTTTCGATCGTCACATCTTCTAGTATATTTACTATTATGGTAATTGATAAGCCTTCGATCTCAAAATATCATTGCATCTTACTCATCACGTGACATTAATAATCATGAAAGTGCCTAATAAAAGTGAGGGATAATCTTTATCATTGAGAGGAAACCAGTCTGGATCGCTAGTAAGGCCCCGAGTGTAACTCCAAGTGGAGGAGTCACTCAATATATCTCTCTTCTCCATATTTTGTTTTCTCTTAATTCACAGCGATATGAGATTTATCTTAGTGAGTACCTTAATTGATGTTCCACTATAAAATTAATTGTCAATATGAGAGTTGCTATATTCTAGGTTATACCATAAAACTAATTGACAATATGAGAAGTAATCCAACTCCTTAAGTATATGCAAAGTCTCTTTTTTTCCGATGTAGATTTCACTTTCGAGATTGTGTCAGCTTAAAAGGATCTTATATCTAATTTCTTGACCAACCATTTAATTCATAGCTCCCAAAGTGGAGATGAAATTGACGTATTCCTAAAATCTGCATTCATCCATGCTAATAAATAAAAGATTAGGGAAGTTGAGAGATTGAAATATATAACCTATTGTCATTTTTTAAAATAAAAATAATAATAATAATAACAAAAAGCCTTGTCTTTCACACAGACTTTATTTACGTTGAATTATTTTATTTTCAGTTTAAAGCGATTGACAATGGGTGGGGAATTTATTTATAAATGTCAAAATATGGGTCATAGCTGAGCCATGGATAGAATTGAAAATGTTGGTGGGTAGCTAGTGTAAAATCCAAGGCTTCACCAAAGGAGGCTGCCGAGCTGCGTTGGAAGTATATAAACGCAAACTCAAACTTTCACATTTGCCATAAAAAACTTGGGAGCAGATTCTTCTCTTCTGACAAATCGCAGTTGCTGCCATCTGTGTCCAGTGTCCACACATGCACTCAAATTATAACAAAATCATTGAAAATTACGACAAGTACGTATACTTAGCAATTATATATTTCAAAAGCTTACTCTAAATCTCTGGTAATCCTCACTACTGAGCTAACCCTAGTGGCTTAAATATTTTAATCCCTTGTTCTGAAAGGTAAATAGATCAAACAAAGCATATGTATAGGTTTCTTTAGTCGTATTAAAAGAAGACAACAATCGTCTTTAAACAAAGTTAAAATAAAATGACAACAAATCAAAGAATTAAACAACTTTTGATTTGGTCGATTTTTTGCATGAATAAATCTTAGGGTAAATTACATTTTACTCCCTCAAGTTTGGGCTCGATTTCAATTCCTTACAATATCTTTAAAACATTTCAATTTCATACATTTACAATCATTTTATTTCAATTTCATACATCCGTTACATTTTTCATCCATTGTTCCGTTAAGAGCTGACGTGGTAGCCACATTTGTGCCACGTGGTTGCCAAATTTGTGTCACGTGGCTGCCAAATTTATACCATGTGGCAAAAAAATAATTTTTTTATACATTTTAAAATAATATAATAATTTACCCTACTTATAAAAATTAATAAAAATTTTAAAAAAAAAAAAAAAAAACCCCATCTTCTTCCCGAGCCCTTCCCCTTCCCTACAACCCAAACACCACATCCCACCCCACCCCCACCTCCCTCGCAACCCTCCACCCCACCCAAAACCAAATGGTCTCCTGCCTCATCACCCCCCCCCTTTCTCCTTCCCCGACCCGGAACAAAACCCATTTCAAATAAACCTAATCGAATGCGCCCTTAACCCTCAATGGCAATGCCTACAAATACTCCAGCTGCAGATGCAGTGCGATGGGCTAAACGTCAGCGTCGGTGCCCATCCTGCTAGAGGTGATGTAGCGGCGGATTGCGGATGCGAGGCCCAGCATTGCGGAGCCAATGGAGGTGAGGCAGACGGCGGCTCTATGGGATCTAGGTGTGAGTTCTTCTGGGCATCGGGCGTGGAGAGAAAAGGGAGATCGCAAAAAGCCTGAAAGGGTTCTCAAATTGCCTTTGCCAGTCTGGCCGATGCCCAGCATGTCCCAGCCTGCTAGGATTTCGGGGTGAATGTGGCGGCGGAGTCGGGGTTAGGATTTATGGATATTTCGATTTGGAGGTTAGGGGTGGAGGGTGCGGCAGTTGCGGCAGGAATAAGGTTTTTTTAGGGTTTTGGGGATTTGGGGGCGCAAGGTTTGAAGAGAGGGAACTCGACGGCATAGATCGGTTGGGGGAGGTGAATAGAGTGGAGGAAAGGGGTGGGGGTTGCGAGGAAGGGATGGGTTTCTGCATTTTTTTTATTTATTTATTTATAAACTCTTCTTTAATTAATGATTGTTTAATGTATAAAAAAAAAGTATTTTTTTCGCCACGTGGCACAAATTTGGTAGTCACTTGGCACAAATGTGACTGCCACATCAGCTCTTAATGGAACAATGGATGGAAAATGTAACGGATGTATGAAATTGAAATAAAATGATAGTAAATGTATAAAATTGAAATGTTTTAAAAATGTTGTAAGGAATTGAAATCCAGCCCAAACCTGAGGGGGTAAAATGTAATTTACCCTAAATCTTAATAAGAACTTAATAGCACAACAAGCCTCCCTAAAATCAAACATGTAATCACTCGTAAATCATCTGTATCAAATTAAATTGTCTATTTATTTACAAACAATCACTAATTCTAAAAAATTTGGACATCACACATGAGAGAAATCGAACCTAGCTGGAATGATTGAGTTTAGATACTTAAAGCTCACGCAGCACTATTCGTTCTTGCCACTTGGCCAACCAATCAAAATTCAAAAGTTATCTTGAACTTCTCTGGATCTGCTGGTCCTATATACATAATTTGACTACCGGAAAAAAAAGCTGCTTGATAAACATGGCGCCGGGATATCTGATCACATACATATTGGAAAAATATGCGTAGCAATATAGCTCGAGCATGCACACGTAGACGTGTGTGTGTGTGCACAGACACTAGTTGTCATTTGCATTCATTCACATGGACCCCCGCTCCCCTCTTTTTATTCACTCCTCTCTCCTCCCTAACCACCTCAAACAGACCCAACCCTACTTAATTTTCCCACCGCAAGCTTTCCTTTCATACAGTGGCCAATATTTATTACTTAGATAGTTGGAGCATTAGTTTTTAAATTTTAAAACTTTGATTTCTGGACTAAAAATTTATGACTATTGATTGTTGAATTTGTCAAAATATGAAGTAATAATCTTTGGGGTAATTTCGAGCATTACTAGAACTTCTGTCTCTTATTTTCTCCTTAAAACCATATAATTTTAACAAAATTTCGAAGCTTGTTACTCAAAATGATCATTTCTCACATTATGACGAGTTCAGAAATCAATACCCCTAAATTTTTAATTCAGAAACCAAAACTTCATTAAACCAAAATTTGAAGACGAATATCGAATTTTCTCTTTACTATTCTCTCTCCCCTCCTCTCTTTCTATATAAAGGCTATTTTCTTATTTCTCTATCCCATCTCTCTCATCTCTTTCTTGAGTTTCTGAGTCTCTGGAAGACCTCTGAGTTGGGTTTGTATTTTGGAATTTTGATATGGAGAGCCAGTACATTGGGAGCACTAGTGGGATGGAACAGCAGAAGGAAGTGAAGATAGCAAACCAAAGAGGAGGTGTGACACGTGAGTCGATTCTGAGGATTTTGGCCTTGGTGCTAACTCTTACGGCTTCTATTGTCCTTGGAGTCGGTAAGCAAACCGAAATTGTATCGATAAAGCTCATCCCAACCTTGCCTCCTATTGATGTTCCTGCTACGGCTAAGTGGCATTACTTATCTGCTTTTGTGTAAGCGCTCTCTCTCTCTCTCTCTCTCTCTCTCGACAAGTTTTAATAGTAAATTAAACTTAAAAACACACCTACAACTCTTAAGTTTTATACAAAATTACTTCAAAAGCTTAATTGAAGAAAAAATAAATAAATTATTGTCGTCAAATTTTCATGCTCTAATCGATCCCTATTGGAGTTTGCAAGGTTTCCTCTATAAGTGTAATGTTATGGGAAACTTACATGTGAATGTCCACATAAATAAATACATTACCAAGCAATCTATGGATTTTGTGGATAACATATGTGCGTCATAGTCATTGAGTTCAATATAATGGGTAGTAAAATCCTTTGATGCATCACTTGTATTCTTTGATCAACCTTCAAGTTATGTTAGACATTTATGTTGCCAAACTGTTAATCGGGTAGACCTTAATTAGGTGAAGTTTTGTTTAAATAGGTGGTCCAAAGTAAGAGCTTATGTTATGTTAGACAATCTTGTATGTTATGTGCAAACTAAGGTAAAATCTTCTTTGTATATGTAATTAGCAGTATACGTTATGTTTGGTAATGTAACATATTGTGTTGTCAAATTAAAAATTCCATCTTTAACTATGTGAAATTTCATTTATTTATGTGATCCAAATTAACAGCATCAAACATAATGTACGAGATATCTATCAACGTAGAGCAAGAGAGCAATACCATACATTATTCAATTTGATATGGTTACTTTTCCACATGGTGTTACTAATGTAGTGAACACATGCATTTATTTATATATTTATTTTTTGTAAAACAAGAGCTCAATCCATACAAATTGAGGCTTATTCGGAAATCATAAACGGAGTGATGCTAGATCTACCGTTTATTTTGTGTGATTTCTCCAATGGGGTAAACTCACCAAAACAAGTGAATTTCATCTCTATTAGAGAAATGGTACAAATAGATGGTGAGAATATAATTTTTGTCATAAACGAGGTATTTTCTCAGATCAAACAGAACACGAGTCATAGATGAAGATTGATATAGTGGAAGATAATCTTTGCTTCAAAGTTATACCTAACTCATATGGCTCACTTACTCAGTCCATTGCCATGCCTTATCTCAATAAAATTCCCCGCTACATTTCTCCTGAATTTGAGTACATATAATTCTCTATGCAAATCAAACAACTTACATGACACGATTATATCGTCATGTGACGTCTCTTGCTAATAAAATGAGGTTATAACAAACACTCATATTTATCTTTTTTTCAATGTCACCGTAGCAATGTACATGTGTTATATAAGTTTTTCACCTATGCAAAACGCTAGTAAAACTACAATATGATAATAATCTTTTTCACATGTACATGGAGGTATCGAGTCACGAGAAGACTTTACAAGTCCCCCCTAAGTACGGAATCCTCCCTGGTCCCTTGTCATTAGTACTATTGTCACTATCAATTTATTGTGACAGGAAAATTAAGTTGAAGAAAAAGTCTAATCACTTAATTAATAACCTCAACCACTTTCGCTCGCAAATATTCAATCAGCTAGCTAGCATGGTTCTGGATACCTCAGTCTAGACTAGTATACTTGTATCCTTAATTACCTACGCGTGTTATTTCTTGACTAAATTTTTTTTTTTATAATTATTTTGCTAATTCTGCAGTAATTGTTTAAGCAACTAATTTTACCAAGATTGAATATGTGCTAGGTACCTTGTGGTAGCAGATGCCATAGCATGCACATATGCAGCATTTTCCCTAGTCCTTTCTTTTGCGAATCGGGGCACGAAGAATAAGTTAGGGCTGGTGATCATCGTGCTCGATCTGTCAATGGTGGCGTTGCTCTTTTCCGCCATTGGATCTGCCGGGGCAATTGGCCTAATGGGGTATCAAGGGAATACACATGTGCAGTGGAACAAGGTCTGCAACGTTTTCGGAAAATTCTGCCACCAAGTCGCAGCCTCCACCGCTCTGTCCTTCCTTGGATCTTTGGCATTCTTCTTCCTAGTTGTGCTTGCTGTTCTAGGCCATAGCAGGAGGTCTATGTAGAATAATCGTCTGCTCGGAACCCTCTAATTTACAATGCCTGTAGAAGTAGAACGTAATTTTTATTGTTCATGTTGTCAAGTACGTACTAGCTAGTTTGGGGTGTGTGTGCACGCATAATAATGTAATTCGATTCCATCTTTACTACTCCATATAATTTATATCCTGTCCAAATGATCTTTGCCAATATTTCTGAAAGTACTATTGCTAAGAGTTGTTTTCCATAGATTTCTGATATTTAGAACAAAAGAGGAAATAGCAAGGAAACAAAAAGGTCATACAAGGCTCTATACAAATTATCCACTTTTTTTTTTAACATTTCATTAATTGAATTTTATTTGTTGATTAGTTCTGTAAAAACCCCGCTTTTTTTAAATACGCGAAAAGCCCTTTTAGAGTTTAATTAGATTAACCCCGAATAAGTTTGACTTCCTTCCATTCTAACCAAAAAATCAAACGAGTATGCGACACTTAATTTGAAGACTAATTTCAATTTGAAACACTAATTGGAGTAGGTTAATTGAAGTATTTAGTTGAAGTATGAGAACTTATTTATGGCAAGTTGAGAAATGAAGGAGATGGGTTGCCTGCTCAAACCGAGAGCACCTGCTTGTTCCCAACAAAGTGGGACAAGACTGATCAGGACAACCGAAATCCAAGTTACCGACATCTGCAAGGTTCCTCTCAGTCTCTTTAAATGCAGACTTGTCATGTGAAAAAAGTTCCCCTTGTTGATCCATCCGGAAGCAAACACATTGACAACAGCTGATGCGAGTCCGGAAGCGCACACGTCAACAACTTCACATTGAACAAACATACGAAAAAGGAATAAGATGCAAAGAGCCCTTACCGCTCAAAGAACACTTTTCAATAATAATATTTCAAAAGTCACCTCGTTTGGCAGCTTGAACTGTACTGACTATTTCAATATGAAGGTACTTACTTTCTTGTGTCCATCGAAGGCATGTACTTGGGTACGTGGAGTGCCTATAGAGAAAGTCACTATGTACTCTCCTTTTTCGGGCAACAATTTAGAAAACGTCTCCTGATTCCAGTCTGAGGATAGAAAGGCGGTGATGAGGGAGTGCATGCAATTAAGGCACAAGAAAGAACAATAGGCAGCTGCTTGTAAACTCTCCTTTTTCATGTAAGATGTACGCTACATCCATTCGCCCACGCATGTGAGAAATATTTCCAAATTTATGCATTTACAGTTAGATCTCATACACAAGGGCTAATGACTGGAACTATCGAAATTGTAGCAATCAGTACTCCAATGTGTAAACATGGGAAAGTATACTCTCCTCTCCCTCGTCAGGAAGAAGAGTTCGTAAGTTAGATTCACGCACATTGAGTTCAGACCAAAGAAAAGAAGAGAATCTCTTTAAATTGGAAAACGGGGAGATGGTCTTCACGTTTCTAAGATGTTCTAATAGCATGTTTAAATTTGGAAAATATTACTAAGAAATTTCGAACTATCCTCTTGCTCAAAAGATCTAGTTAGTACTGATTTGGTACTGATGTGCTTTTGAAAAAAGTGGGTATCAAAAAAAGCTATGAGCTTTTTTGTGTTTGGTAAACTTTCAACTTTAGCTTTTTTTTCACAGTTTTAGGTGAAAAAAAAACCAAAAAATAGAAGCAACAAAAGCTAGCTTTGAAAAATCAGTTTTTTTTGCTTCCACTGCTTCTGCACAAACCTAACTTGCAAAAGGCGCTGAGTCCTTTAATGAAACTTTCAAATACCCAAAATGGCCTTAAACAATTAAATAAAGTACACATAATACCAACTGGAAGACATCGTCGATTTCAATTGGGAGATTGTCCTCGTTGACTCCGCCACAACGTCATTCTCCCAGCTTCAACAATCACCGTTATTGACCTTGGATTCCATACCCTACGACATCGTTTATATCCCTGTCCTTTCGCTCATCTCTTGTTCGTCCTCTCTCACTCCCACGCTGACAAAATTACGTCGAGAAACACTACCATCTTTTCCAGCGATAACCAAACTCAGATTCAGATTCGGTTTTGGCATTGCTGACTTGCCCTGCTTTCCCATATTGCACTGCTTACAGGAGACTAATCTTCGTATTTTTGCAAATTAAGAAAGCCTAGATTGCTCAGACGGAGAAAATGATGAAGAAAAATGTAGTGAGACAGGTGAGAGAGATTGAGGAACAACCCATCAAAGACGGCATAATCACGGCGTTGGTGCCTTCAGAATCTATAGAGATGAAAATAAAAAAGAAGACGGCGCAAAAAAAATAAAAACTGAGAAAATTAGGGTAGTGGGGGAAACTTCTAGAGAGATTTTTTTGGTTTTTGGAAAAGTTTAGTCGATGCAGATGGAGAAAAGAAAGGAAGAAGACTCTAAAGAGAGTATTAATAAATAAAATTATTATTCTTTATTTTTTGTCAAATATAAATAAAATTATTCTCATTTTACATTTAATATCATACTCATTTTTGTCATTTGACATAGTTATAGCAGCTTTATATAAAAGTTTACCAAACACCCTTACACTTGAAAATAAAAATAAAAACAAAAAACAAAAAACAAAAAAAAAAAAAAAAAAAATTTAATAAACACTCAACTGCTTTATTTTACAGCTATTTATTCTCACAGCACAACAGAAACAATTTTTTTAAAAAGCACAGCAATACCAAACTAGCCCAAGTGCTAGAGAGAGTATGAAATTAAACTAACATTCGGAAAATATCCCTCCATATCACAACAACCAAAACCACGTTTCAACATGAACACGTTAGAAATGATACAAAAGCACTAGTATAATCAAATCCAATCAAATGACCTGCATAACAAAATTTGTTATAATCTAACGCACCATTGAGAAAGCTGGGAGTGCCTTTGTAAAGAGGGCGGGTTATTGGAATGCTCATCAACCATGGCAGAAAAACATGGTTCTCTCTCTTTTACAGGATACGAACGGCATGTGCAGCTTCAGATTTTCAGTCTCTACCCTCCGAAGTTCAATAAAGAATACCTTCTTTGCTGGTTAGGTCATCAATGTTTACGCTCACTTGTAAGCCCGTGTTTGATAGGGAACTAACCATTGTAGGGATATCAGAGATCAAAGATGTAGCTAATGCCTGGACATGGGAACAACCACGTAAACTTGAGTTCTCAAACGGACAATTGAACAACCATAGCTGCATAGGTATTTAATTTTCTTTTTTTTTTTTTTCAAAAACAACTGCATAAATGGTATACCCTTCTGTCCTCTTCCTTCTGGCGCCTAATAACCTCTAAGGGCCACTCATTAACTAACTTTTCAAGCCCAACCACGATACTGGACTTCTTTGTATCAGGTAAAATCTGGCATGGAGAAATCCCAATGGCCTCAGCAAATAGGAAAACATAATATTAGATCATTGGAAACATGTTTGACCCAAATTTGTGTCCCCTGTAGCTAACAATGGAACTCAAACTTCATGAAAAACCAGTGTAGGAACTATTCCCTCTTTGTATGTCAAATATATATCAGTGGGTGGACAGATATATAAAAGTTCAATTCGATTCAACCTATGCTTTTCAAATCAACAGAGGGAATTTGTAGTATTGTGTAAATATGTTACAGTTCCCCAAAAGGCTCAGATTTAAATTAGGCATCAAAACCTCGAAAGTTCTTTTTTGTCCCTATGATAAGTATAAAGTATGAGTATGTTAAGGAACCAAACCTGATTTAGAACTTGAATGATGGAAGCAGCTTCCTCGGGCTTACATTCTAACAGAAAACCCTGCAATGAATTGAAAATAAAAATTAAAAAGCATAGGGTAGTTGGTTGAAACTTGAAACTAATTACTCAAACGACTCAACCCAGACAAAGCTCTAACTGGAGATGCTGAGCCAAAGCTCTACCTTAAGTTCTCTTTATTTTATTTTATTTTATTTTCTTATTAAGAAAAGAGGGGTTTCGAACTTAAGGCTTCTTCCAACCTTGGAAAAGAAATACCAATTGGACCAAGAGCTAGTTGATTCTAGTTTCTTAGAATCCATTTAACCAGTACAAGACTGAATCAAATGGCTAGAACCAGGTTTGAGTGGTTCTCTTCCATATATGGTTGTAGAATCCTCCATCTTCAGTCCATTGCTTAACTGGACCCATCTATAAGTCGTTTTAACAAATAGGTATCGAACTTTTGCGTTGGGGTGTGTGTGTATGTAAGGTTCAAATTCAATACCTTAGCACATGAAAGTCCACTTGCAACAGTATGCTGCTTCATCAATTCAGATCTTAGTTTCTCTGCTTTCCACAATGATTCAACATCTCCTGCAAATGAGAAACTAGAAATTCTTTAAATAATAAATTAAATACCAGGAAATGGGAGAATATTCATGTGAAGTAAAAGAAAGCATAACCTAAAGTACTGGCATGGCTGAGGATAACAATAGAAAAAGAACATTATTTGGTGTAATACAATATCAGAGAACTGTGATTTTGTGGAGACCTATTTTAGCAGCAAATTCCAACCATAGATCAAAAGCAGTTTGACGTAGCTTTACTCCAGCTTTGACAAACCTTTTTGAGTACTTAGACATCAACTGCCAATTATCAGTATTGTAACAAATGCTGCAAACGGTCAACCCAAAACAGATTTAGGATCTTATTAAGAACAATTAAAAAACTAAAAACAAAACCCTACAAAAAGCTATGACCTTTTGTAATGATTATCTTATTTCACAGCAATTGTTTGTAAAGAAGAAGAGCATTACTGAGGCAATCCTAGTTTATAACCTAGATACCTGAAAACAATATCTGCTGTACCAGGTTGCAATGGTAGGCCATTCCTCTTCAAAAGTTTCATTACTTCCACCATAAGTTTAGAATCATTGCGTTCTTTAGCATACAACTGCATCCAATTTACAGCTAGAAATTATTGCATACAAAGATGAAGTACAAGAGAAACCCAAACAGTCAAAGCGCAATTTCATTGGTACCAGTAAATGGTGTGCAGATCCAATGCTAGGAGCCAATCCATACACGTTATGTTTCCACAAGGCCTTCTTTCCTGTAATGTAAGATACATGCATGGGTTTCCCAAAAGTGTAGACCTAGCAATAACTCTAACTTGAGGCCTAAGAATCAGATTAATAGCATACCATAGTCAAGAGCTCCCACACGAACACACGCCTTAGTAACCTCTCGGCAGAGATTGCAATTAAAATCGGAATGGATGCGAAGATTTGACAGTCTCTGCAATCAGAACCAAATCATACAACCATCAACAGAAACAAATTACACTTCACTCAGAAGATGCGAGCTAAAAATTTAGGAACTAACAAATCTTCGAAGGTTCTGCAAGATGTCAAATAGAAGCTTAATATCTCCTTCCTTTTTGCAATTTTCAATCAATGACCATAACCAAGCATTAGGGGGCATCGATCGTTTAATATTAACAGACTGCAACATCTTATCAGACAGCTCCTTCACAGCCTCTGCACCCAACGAGCAAAGCAAATATCACCAAATGAACTTAAATAACAATCTTAACCAACTCCTGCCAAAGCAAAACTACAACCTGTGGAACCACCTTGGATGGTACTCGCTTGAGAAGAAAACGGCGCTCTCAACATCATCACTGCACAAGTTGAATGTTGTTCCATCAGCAAAAGATGACCGTGAGTACTGCCTACATAATTCAGCATCTCAAGTTATCGATTTCATCACGTAGAATTAGTTTGTTTGTTTGTTTAGTTCACTAAGAAAAATGACCCAACAAAAGACTATTATTTCATAACTTGAGCTTTTCTGTTCTTTTCATTCCTCAGATTTCTTAGCAACCAAACAGAATATAAACTATTGAAACAAAATCCAAATACAAGAAATTAACAAAAATGGTCAACAAAAAATAAATTTTACTCCTTTTAAAGCTCAGATTTCCTCAGTTCCACAAAAAAGGTTCATCTTTGATTTTCCAGATATTTTCTCGGCTAACAGAAGATAATGCACTAAAATTTCAATGAAAAACATAAAAGAATTGAATTTTCAAGTGAGAATTAGATGAGCAAATGCTGAGATTACCGAAGAACAAGGCCGTTTGGGAAGAGCCGGCGCCGAGGTTCCGCCATTGGAGAGAAGAGAGTGGAGCTTCGACGACTCGGGCATCGGGAGAGAGAAATTGGTCGGTGGGTTTGATACAAATGGGAGATTTGAAAGCTCTGGAGAGCCTGCGAGTGTTGGAGATCACTTGCATGGCTTTGGAGGACCGAGTCGAGGCCGAGTTGGAGCTCTGATTGAACTCGGTGAGTTTTTATAGAGAGAGAGAGAGAGAGAGAGAGAGAGAGAGAGAGAGAGAGCGACGCGCTAAAGCCCAGATGCTGAACGATCAGGGTTTAGAGGGAAGAGGGCGGAAGAGAGAGGAGCATGTATTTGTGCAACGGCTGTGCATATAGTTGTTTCTGTGGAGCTTCGCATGTTGCTACTTGCTATATACGTATGGGAGACGGGAACATCCGATAAAATTGAAACAATTCAAAGAATGCACGTATAGAGACTTATTATTAGTATTAAATGAACTTATTTCATGTAAATCATTCTTTTTTCATAAGAGAGATTAATAGCATAATAAACTGTAATGTGTAATGTAATGTATCGTCGTGTTTTCTTAGACTCATGATTCAAAAAAATTGTAATCACCCATTGTTCGGTTGTAATGTAACGATACTTGGCAATTTAACTTTTGTTATTAAACTCTCTCCTCCGTTGTTGAATTAAAGATCGAACGATGAACTATCTCAATTTTCTTAAACAATAGGATCTAAAATAACGGGACACACACAATGTGAGAGAGAAAACGACTCCATATCAGCCTTGACCTGCCACTTGCAAACCAACACAAAGTAAGGCAATGTGAAGAGATGAAAGCAAGATGGGCATGGTTATTATCATGTGGCAAACCTTTCATTAGTCCATAAACCATTCCCTTGAATTACAGTACATATAATGTTTACATCAACCCAATACTCACCAGTCACCACACCTGGGTTTCAACTTTTAACCATATAAATCGGAAGAAGAAGAAGAATGGCCTGGAAAGAGTTCAATGGGCGCGTTTCAACATTACAATCATTTGAATCACAAAGCAATGGTACAGAATAAATTGGAGGATAACAATCAAGTTCCCATTTACGTTGTTCATTAATCATACAAGCTTTCACTGCGACTACCAGACTCGATGATATCATTGAGGAAGAACTGGTGGGGCAATTGTGCGTGTGTTGTATGAGTTGCAGTGGTTGCATTTCTGCCCAATAATGTGGAAGTAGACTTCGGTAGTGTCGTTGCAGTCATTGCACAGGATCCATACCTGTGAATTAACATTGCTTCTTAGACTTGTACTGGTAAATAGTTCCGAATTCGTGAGGCATAATGTTACATGGGAATGGATATTCAGGAGTTTACACCAGAGAGGCCTTTTTTTTTCATAAACAGGCCTGAACATGGACAAAAGTACGCACCTTCTTATACCGGTAATCCTCAGGCATAACAGTTGCTTCTATCTGGCAGTGTGCAAATGTCAACTAATTAGTATGAACTCTTCATTTTCATCACATAACCGAGATAACTAAAGAACCAACACAAAATGTGAATTAACTGCAACACACTTTGCACTTTAACTTGAGAAGCCTACCTCCTCATCTATTCTCTTCCAGGTTTTGGACATGTCAATCACCGACTTGGAGCATATCGGACAACAATATCTGAATCGTTTAACCAGATTGAGTTAGGAATCAAGTAATCATCTTTTGCATTGAAAACTAACGAAATTAAAGTCATGCCGCTTACTTGTCACGCTTCATCATTTCATTATAACATTCGCAGTGCATTGTGTGCCCGCATTTCATTACAGTAGTGTCTTTCAGTGAGTCAAAAAGGAACTACAGAACACAATATGTTTGAATATTTACTGTTAGTTCGGGCACGGCAAGGGTTTCCTATTATTGTATAACTACAACGGACATTTCAACACAAACCTCGTAACAAATAGGGCAGTGATGCTGCATTGAGTTCTCCACACACAAGTGATTATCACGTAAGCCATTTGAATAGCAAGAACCTGAAAGAATATAAAGCATCATTATGTTCTGAACTCTTACCAGAACATTAATGTTACAAAGTAAAAACTTTTTCCCCATCCATCACAGTTTCCAAAACTCAAAAGCAAAATTCCCATTGAACTGGAAAAGATTTTTCGCGAAGCAAGATGAATAGCTGATTTTTAAGCACAAAAAACTCACCCTAATAGAAAGGAGAAACTTCCCATAGAAAATAAAATCTAATACGGTATGGTAGTTATAATATATCAACAAATTAAAACAAAGCAATCACTTAATTTGTAGTTCACAGAAGATAATGGGAAGTGCACACATATCACAATTTTAGGAACAGCCAGGACCCATCCTTAATGCAAGAAAACAGCTCACATTCGATGAATAGACGACCTAAATTTTTTCTCTAGCACTCAATCTATGCATAAGATGCTATAAATGAGAGCACAGTTCAAACCAAATGCGGGGTACAAGTACGAGGTAAAGTGCAGGGCAACAAAGTGCATTCAGTTCCACAATTTAATTCCTAAAAATGAGAATCTGTCATAGAATCAGAACGATGTTTAATCAAAGATTGGTGGTATCTAAACCCAACATTGGATTTCCAAAACTTAAATTAGCACCAGACCTCGATCGCAATGGACAGATCTCAGTAAACCAAAAGGTGAAACTAAAAAGTACAGATTTCATTGATCCAAAGAATAACTGATAGCAAGAAGTTCATTAAAGAAGGGAAGTTTCCAATTTCAGAAACAAAATTGCCATAATGGTTGTAAGCACATACCACATTTCTTGCAGTGATAAAATTTGTCACGACCCCCGATTCTGTTTTAGGTATGAAAAGTCAGATGCAGAAATTCCATTGCCACGAAATTATATGACAAAAATCAGCCATATAGAAGAAGGAAATAAACTCTGACATTGTACTAACCTGCAGATCCCACAATCATTACAATGAAATTGTTCTTTCGTGGTCTGCAACACATAAAAGGAAAGCTTACTTCAATGAGGAGGAAACCAACAACATTATATACAGATCACAAACCAACTATCGAATCTGAATCTAGTTATTTTCGAGATAAAGTTTGATAAATCAATGAAGCCAAAATAACAGACTTTTAACTAAGTATTTGCTCTTCAAAAATCCAGGTACGATAATTAAATTTGAGATTGAAGTTAGCTTACATCATCATCATAGAATTTGCAAATGTCACAGAAATATTCCCCCATACTGACGCCGCAGTTTGTACAAACTCGTGCAACCTAAAACCGACATAGATGATTAGATATTCAAGAAGATCAGAACCAAGACAACATTTTTCTTTGTTCCATCATTTAATTTTGATTAGAACCAACATAGTAAGAAGTAAGAACACAAACCGGCTGCTCTGTGTCACAAACCGAACAAACAACCTGAAACAGCAACACAAGTAAACACAATGAGAATACTTAGGAAAGTAAAGACAGAAATTATAAATGAATAACGTCACATACAAAGCTCGAATCTCCCCCCTTGTAAATTAGAGTAGTTTAGAACATCACTTTGTCAAACCAAAAAAAACATAAATTACAAACAGAGAGTATGATATAATGTCACGTACTTGTTTCACATCGTAGCGAACGAGCTCATGCCGATCAAAGGGGTTGCTCAACATGCTCTGAGAAAATAAAACAAACCCAGATGAATTAACAGGTAGATATATATTACAGACCAATCACCAATGTCACGATTTGAAATTTGACATGCTTTTTCACAGTTAAACGTGACCAATACCGTGGCTTCGTTGTGACAATGGCGACAAGGATAGATCTCGTTGCAGCACGGAGCTCGAATCTGGCATCTTCTTCTGTAATGCTTGCATCTGCAGAAAGAAAAACAAGAACAAAAACCCAGAAACAATCAGCCATAAAAACGAAAACCCAATTCATATTTCTCGCAGAAATTCGAGGAAGAAGAAGGGGAAGGGCGGAATGGCAAATTACCCATAACCCATCTTCCCAAAATCGAGACGTTCATTGGCTGAGCCTTCCATGAGAGTTGGAAGAGGAGGAATCGCAGAGGGGAAGGCTTAAAGAATGAATGAAAGTTTCCCGATTTGGGAAGGATGGGTTGGCTCTGTTTGTCCTCAATTTGAAAAGAGCCCGAGCCATCACGTAAAGTAAAGGGGTCCCCTTTCCATTAAAATAGTCAATATTTTCTGGTTTTTGAAGGATTAAGCTGTAAAATAATGGAAAATAATAGAGTTTTGCGGGAAAAGATTTAATATTGTTTTTGGCAACGGCCATGTTTGCATTTGCGGCTACCCACTTGGACAGACAGATATGAGAGGGAGAGAGAGAGGATAAGGTGGGGTTGGCAGTTGCTGGTGGCCGTTGATAGGGAAAAGGACAGGCGCCGTGAGATTGGCGAATCGGATTGCAGAGAATGAGAGGCAGCAGGCTTACCAAAACAAGAGCAATCCTGTCCTCCCCCTAGTCCTCTCCTGCGGGCATTTTAACAAACACCTGCCAGGCATCATTATATCACCCCCAGTCTCCCTGTTTCCCCTTTTTCTAAATCTTTGATTCATTTACTAAATGTTTGACTATACTCAATATCTATTACTTCTGTGCATGTCACACGCCAAAACACAATAAATAAAATTTACAAAAGACGTCATAGCTTGGAGAGTTTGATAACAGAAAAGGATCCCTTTCATTCTTTCACAATTGCCTTGATATAGACGCAAGAAATAAGTTATCATTTTATGTAGCTTTCCTCCCCATGCTTGTTTGTCTCCCACGCTACTTTGAGTCAATATATTTATTTCTTATCCGATTCGTAGGACTTTGTTATATTGTATTATCAAATTGTCAATCTAGCATCATACGTTAAAACAATAATTCACGTTCACCAAAAAAACTAAAAACTTTAGGTTGCGTTCTGTTGGCAGCAAAAGAGACTTGGAAATGAGAAGTTAAATCATTTTCAATGTTTGGTAAGTCCAGGCTTATAAAAACTGTAATTAATGATGAGAAAATGGAGAGGAAAAACGAACCCTCGACCACGATAGGTTTTTTCTTTTCGCCTTATCTCAACGTATGTTCATTATTTTAAATATATATATATATATGAGGTGGAGATGACATGACATCACATTCACGTGCATCTTGAGATTTATGGGAAATCGAAACTGCTTATTTCTTGTACATTACCGAGTTCTTGTTGCCCTACTTCTTGTATTTTGCCCATGTATTTAATCTTGTTTAATGATGATATACAGGGGTCTGTGCAATGGATGTTAGCGAAACCTGAGATGCATGCAACATTCAAGCTGGATTTCTGGCATTACGGTCCCCAAAAGATTGCAGCTCCTTTTCAAATGTGCGGCAGGGGAGAGATTTTTTCGATCCGGGATACAAATCGGATACCTTACATGTTATAATATAAGCAAAGAGAGCATATATTTTTCGTGTTCCTTCATTTGTATTATGATAAATAGTATATTGTTTTATGTTTTAACTTCACTGAAAAATCTCTCGTAAGGAAGGACAGTGAAAAGTGGGAAAATTTGTAGTATGTACATGTGTACAACATACACTGAGACTTGTAGTCTTTGAGGTTTCATCTATTAGATCGTAGGCAGAAAATCTAACCAGTTGTATGTCATTACAGTCTGCGATCACGGTCTGCATCTCTCTTCAGTTCAAATGCGTGGAAGATGGGAGTGGGGAGTGGGGATTGGGGGTACTTATGGCAGTCTCACTTCAAATGTGTATTTACATACAAATATCAAGTAATATCATGATTCGTACTGTTTATTTTTAAGGTTCTCATTTATAGATTATTTTTGCTAAAGTTCACTTGAATTGGAAAGGATTTAGCCTTTTAGTTGTTGTTGTGAATATTCATGGTTTATCAATGATATTGTGTTTGTCTATTTATCAAGATACAATCAAATACCTAAACGTCTTCTGATTCTAATGAAATTGTGCAGGGATGGTCTTTCAGTTATACCCATTAAAATGATCAATTTAGGTTATGACAAAATATTTAGGTTATGACAAAATTTAGGGATGATATTGTGTTTGTCTATTTAACATTTGAGTTCTTCCTTTACATAAAACAATGGTCAGAGCATCTTCAAGAGTTTAAATTTTTGCTAAATTAGCTAGTGAACAGCGTTGAAAAACTATTATAGTTAGTGAGTTTAACTTTACATATTCAACAACAATCTCTATTTTAATAAATTTAATATTTTATGAATTTTCCAAGAGAGTGAGAAAGAGTTGAATGGTGGAGTTTTAATATTTAGCAAATGTTAAAGGGTGGTGTTATCCACATATCCCATTTACCTTTCGCACACTTCTTCTTAATTTTCAGGCGTCAGATCAAATGAATTGAGAATGATTAAACCTCATAAATTAACAAAAGGTGTGTGAAAGGTAGAAACACCATATTAATCAAATTCCAACTAGAATTAAAGGACAAATTTAATGTGTCTAACATTGTTCTATATATTTTTAATTTTTTATCACCATTTCTCATGGACAACGTGTGACAGCCGGTTCCGAATTATTCGTACTGTAGGTGTGAAATGATGATTTTACCCTTGGTAGTTATTTGTCATTTTGGGGTGATTGTTTTGTGGTTTTGTTGGTTGCATCTGGACCACACACTCACCACATCCATATCATCTTCTTCTCCCGTGTCTCTCTCTGTCTCGAACACACACTCTCTCTCTCATTCTCACTTGTACGGACGGGGTTCAAAACCCTTGCAAACGTTGCAGATCGAAGTGGAAAATGGTACCTTCGTGTTCGTGAGGGTCATACAAGTTCAACCATACCAAATTCAGGTAAGGAATCCTTCGATTTCAAGTCGAACCAGGAATCTCCGATTTGGTCACTATTCATGCACACGTGAATTATTGACTTTCAGGAAATTTGAAGCTTATAGGAAGCTTAGTGAGGTCCTTAGGAAGCTCAGGGTGGTTCGTTGAGTGGAATTGGACGTCGGGATCGTGAGTTGTAAGTTTGGCCGATTTTTCTTGAATTTTTCCGGCAAGATCCTGTGATCTTTGAGGTTTCAAACAGGTATAACGTTGTTCTTCTCATCTCCAACTTTCCAATGGTGCAAATTTCATAGAAATTGGTGAAGAAACGAGTGAGAACGAAGGATTTGAAAATTTTCCAGGTTTCCGGCGACCGGCGTTTCGCCGGAGAAGAAAGCGGTATATTTCGTCAGTTTTGGATTGACGCCGTCAGTCAGATTTAACGGAATCCGTTAGGGTTTAACAAAATATTCCTGACGGCGTTAACTGACACCGTCAGTGTGACTGGCACGTGACCGCGCGTAAAGTTGTGCCCTCGGCGGCACGTGGCGGCCCGTGGGGTCTTGGAAAATTATTTTTAAAATATGGGGATGTTCGTGAGCTTGAGTAGGTCACGTTGGTATATCTAAACATCCCATTTGAGCATTGTATGAGAAGTTATTACCTAGTTTTGGTTATGTGCTTTAAATTGACGTTTTTATAGTTGTTTCGCATATAGGTGAGACCTATCCTGAGGACGAGCGCAGTCACTCGAGGCAAAGGGGTTACGACCCTTCTACATATCAATGAGTGGGCTTTTGGTTTTCCGTATATACCTATATACTTGTGGTTTTTCCCAGAAAATGAAATTGAATGTTTATATGTTTTAAATGTCATGCATAGCGTTTGCCGATTTATTTATGCATTAGTAGTTGCATATATGTATGTTTAGTCTTGCGGACGCACATGTAAGTGCCAGGTAAGTTTATGGCTTATGATTGTGAATTAGTGGTTATGTGAGATACATAGAGAGATCATAACCTGCACCCCGCGTGTTAGTGTTCTCGCCCAGAGTAGGGCACAGTCCTTCACGTGATGTTCACCTCCCACAACACACGCTCATCTTAGATCCAAGTTAAGTGCACAATCCTGTCGTACAGACCACTATGGGTGGTTCCGACTCGTAGGTGACCCGCGATTATTCGTCCAGTCTTCAAGTGATCGTAGCACTTGAGCGTATTTATTTACACCCAGTCCTGTCGTATAGACCACTTTAGGTGGTTCCGACTCGTGTGCAGGTATAGTTAATTAGTTGGAGATTTGAGCTTTAAATTCAGCCGTACAGGTCACATTAGGTGACTCCGGCTAACATGTTACTTGCATTGATTGACATTACCTGGGTTACTTACATTTTATGTGGAGGCATTCGACATGGCATATTTATGGACATGTTTTCGATATATGTGTATATTCTATTTTCTGGGAAACTACACAGGTTTTACGGCGAGGGGTTAGAACTTTTGATAATGAAATGATTTTGAAAAACTTTGTTTTTGCCCACTCACATTTTCTGTTTTGCGCCCCTCCAGGTTCTAGTTAGAAGCGCTTTGGTGGCTCACGAGGACTTGACGGTGGTTCTGACAGAACATCACAAATGTAGGATCACCTTTGGATGTTGTGTAATTAGTATTCGTTCTTCTGGACTGCACTTAAGCTCTTTGTGCTTTGATTATGTTTATCACGCTTGGTATCGTATTAGTGTGTTACCTTAACTAGTTTTTTTTTAGTAGTTTGGTTTTTATTTATTCGTACTTTTATTATTATCTTTTGCTTCCGCACTATGCACATGGCTACGTCACCCTCACATAACGAACAGCACGCCTTGATTTTAATCGGGATGTGTCACAACGTCATCGTCTTCCCAACAACAGTTACCAATATAATTACTAATTAGGGTAGTTGTTGACTTGTTGCTCACTATTTTTTTCTCTTATAGTGCTTGCAGTTGCATTGAGTGTGTGCTGTCATCTTAATTCATCGACAATAAGCAATTTTCGACTAATGTTATTGGAGAATTTCCGCACAATACCTTAAACACCACATCAAATAACTAACTATACCCATCTAATAATAAGGACATGTTGTCAATTTATAAGATGGTGATTATAATAATTGTATTACATAAAACACAATATTAATCCACCTAATATAAGATGTGGTATTGATGTGTTGTTTGTCCCACATTGACCGTTTCATTTTCTCTTCATCACCTAGTTGTTATATAAAGAGGGCTTTGGGGAATTGAGAAGACACACCAAGATAAAAAAATTTCTTAACTCTATAGAGAGGGGGAAAATCTCTTCACTCTTTTTCTCTCTTAATTCTTGTATGAGGTAAACAATAATGGATGAGAATTAGATGAGCTAATTGAGATGATGCCAACACTCTCTAGGTGATTGAGAGATGCAGGATTTCCATAGTAATTGTATTATATAAAACACAATATTAATCCACCCAATATTAATCCACCCAATACAAGGTGTGTTATTCACATGTGTTTTTTGTTCTATCAATCGTTTCATGTTCTCTTGAGAGATGTAGGATTTCTATAATAATTGCATTATATAAAACACAATATTAATTTACCTAATATAAGGTGTGTTATTCACATATGTTTTTTGATCTACATCAATCGTTTCATTTTCTCTTGGTGTGTCTTCTCCCTTCCCCAAAGGAGAGGAGAAATGAAACGGTCAATGTGGGACAAAGAACACGTATTAATAACACACCCTATATTGGATGGATTAAGAGTGCTTTATATAATGCAAATATTATATAAATCTTACATCTCACTTTCATCCACATAGAGTATTGGCATCATCTCAATTAGCTCATCTAATTCTCATATGTTACCATGGGAATTAAGAGAGAAAAAGATTACTAGAAGAGTGGAGAGAAAAGAGAAAAGAGAATTGTCTCCCTTAGTGTTTCTTCTCTCTTCCCCAAAGCCCTCTTCATTTAGTGGCTAGGAGGGCAAGAGAATAAAGCAGTCAATGTGGGACAAAGAACACATATCAATACCACACCCTATGTTGGATGGATTAATATTGTGTTTGGTCCTTGTGCATTGGCACAAGGTACATAGGCAATCTAGTTAGGGTAGATACAACTAAATCCTTCTCTGGAGATGTCTTTATTTGTGCTTCGAGCAACAGTTCATAAAAATGAGACAACGATCCACAATTCTTCATTCCGCTAGGTATGTCCTCTATCGAATTCCCTTATATTATTTGCATATATTTCCAACAAAAACAGTATAAATGATACATGCTATTTGGTGCAACGTAGGTGTTTCCCAAGTAGGTCAAACTAAACCACTCCAAACTAATTGTAGTTTGTCTCACTTTAATCCAAGTTTACTCTCTTTTTTCTTGATACAAAAATATTCTAATCTTTTAGAGAGTTGAGATAAGTCACACAATGAACCAACACAATAATTATATGTAAAACTCATCAGTAAAATGTTTCCTTATAATCACTAACCTATAGTTAGCCTGGCTGCCATTTTACATATATATCTAAAAATACATCAAGCCACATTGTTGTGTTAATGATGATGAGCTGCCAAGATATAAACCCATCTCCACCTTCAAAACACAACGAATAAAACGGTTGTATATATAAGCTACGTACACATATCACATATGCACGCCACCAAATTACACCCGTTCAAACCACAGCTCCAACACAAACAAATAACAAAAAAAAAAAAAAAACAGCTTCCATTTCTTCCATTTGTCACATCTCTCTCTGCCTCATATTATTAAAGGGAGCTCGAGACATTAATTATTCTGTCTCGGTCTCTCTTGATTACCCTGATCTTTACATCTCCGAGACCTAACAACACACAAAATATAGAAAAATGGGTTGCGGGGAATCAAAGCTGGCGGTTGCCACCACCAACACCATCCTCCGCCGCAAGAAATCGAGTGTTGCCGATCCTTCCAAGAAGAGCAAAGACATAGAAACCGTCCTTGAAAACAATGACAGCGCCGCAAACTCATCGGTGCAACACCAACAACAACATGACCAACAAGAAGAACAAGTCAAGGAGGACAATGCGATCGCCAATAATGTTGGTGGTGGTGGCGAGGCGTCTGCGGTGGCCGATGATGTGAATGTGAATGTGAAGGACATAAAGGTAAATAACAAGGGCGGAGAAGATGGTGGTAAGGAAGTATTGGAAAAAGGTGACAAAGAAGAGCACGACGAGGCCGCGGGGAGATTGATTTCGCATGGTTCTCCGAATCGTTTCTTTTCGTCGAGGAAATTGGATGAGGAAGGAATTGACGCGATTATTTCTGAGGGACGGTCTGGGACGTCGGACTATTATACTCCACGCCATGGAAGTAAGGGAAACTTGCACTTCAAGGTAGATGATGATATTGCAGAGGACGATAACGAATTACATCTGCCAGCTGCAGAAACAAAAACTCCAGCGGTGGAGACACAAAATAAGGGTTTGTAAACCTCAATGTTGCTTTATTTCAACATTTTTAAAAAGCTATACATATTTGCATGCATACATGATCACGTCGAGTAGGTCTTATTTCTGAAAGGAAGCATTCTCTTGCCGAACTGTGAATCTGACCTATTGATTGTGTCCAATTTCGCTACAAACGTATCAAGCAAACGCATAGTTTGACAATATAAACATACGTTTGGAAACGTGTATATTGCCATCTAACGAAATGTCTGCTAACTTAATTCGGTTATTGTGTAGGTACAGAAGAGCCTGTAAAGAAACCGGAGGAGAATTCGGTGAAGGAAACAGAAGTGGCAGTTACAACCACTGTTGAAGCCGAAGTGGCTGAAGCCGCTGAACCTGAAGTTTCAATCCCTGCTGAAGAAGTGAAGAATTAATCTGAATCTACAAATAATTGAGTGCAGGAACAATATGTGGGTGATTCCCCAGCCAAGGATGAGAAGACAAGCTAAGTGCGAAGGGCAGTTAAATTAGGAAAGCTAAAGCTTCTCACTCAGCTTTTGTGTTTGTAATTGATCAATCACCTAGTTTTTATTGGTTTTCTGCTGTCCTCCAAAGCATATAACATGTAACTTGAACAGAGAATATGTAGTAGTACTGTCTGTTGTATTCTTGGAATTACTTTATGTTTCAAAATTTGTTCAATTTCGCTTTTATAGACCAAATTCGACCACTTAATATTAATGTAATAGGTAGACGTGAATTAGACCGGTTAGCCATGACAGTATGTCAACCTCGTTGCACCTATATACTTGAATCCGCCTCCATGTAAATTAGAGTAATTTATAAAATTATCTTACAGTAAAAATGAAGAAACTTTGACGGGAAGGCATTTCCTGGTGGTTTCCTACGCTTGAACCAGAAATGACATTTGAATTTTGGACCATCTTACTTGGTTAATTGATTAAGCCGCTTGAATTATAAGGGATGAAAACGTAGTGTCAACGTGTCCGTGTAATCAAATTAAAGCACCGCACGGGCTTGGTAGGTTAATTGATTAAACCCACTGGAAATGATAAGGAAATGTAGCGTCATTTGACCAGCGTTACGTCAATGTGGTCACGTTATAAAACCCGGTTGCACCTAAGATCTTCTCCTGGGTTGACAACCGAGCTAAACCGGTGAGCCCAAAGATCCAAAAGTATTTGATTTAATAAGTAATTGGTATACTTATTATTACGCAAAGTGTAACATTTCTGCGTAGCGAACAACCATTATATATACAACACAATGTCAGCAATCCCAAAGACTGAAGATGAGCACATTCATATGTACACAAGTCATCCGCAGCCCCATCATAACCCACGATGTTCATCAGCTATGGCTTCTGAAAAGCAAGAGCTTTTAGGCATACAACGAAACAGCTTTCCCAGGACATATACCTACAACTGACCTCTCTCAGATTTTTCCAAGGGAAAACATGGCCAGCAATCTACAGAGGTTTTGCCCCAGTGTCAGGCGCTGCGTTCAACTTGAGAACAGAAGTTGCCAGATCTCTGGACAGTATAAAATTTCCTCCAAGATCTGTTCTGCTGTACTCTGCTATACCAGTACCCATCACAATTTTGCACCGTCTCCATGTCTTGGCCATTAAGTCAACACCATAATAAACTAAATGGTCCGAAATGCTGTTCCCACTCACTGACCTGCAAAAGCGTCCCAAGAACTTGTATCATATTTTTGGGATCAGGTTATTCTTTTCAACTTCATTATTTTATTATTATTCTAACAATAGAAGACTGCACCAGCGAGCTGCTATGTGTCGAAACATGATGAAAGAATGGAATCAAAGAGACAACTCTCAATGATATCACAACGAAGACTTGGATTACCTGCTGCACGTTGGGTCCTCGCCTGATTCATCACAGATTTTCTCAACTTCATAAACAAGACTTCCAACTTCAAGGTTATAAAGCCACACCTAGAATCAGAATAAGGCTTTCAATGGTCTGAAGAGAAAGAAACTCCCAAAAAAATGTCATAAATATACGAAATTATGATCCAAGTGCCGTGTGCAAGTGTATATCAAGGAGTCGTGTTCAATAATATTCATCCACCTATTCAAAATATGACCAGAAATTGTAATTTGGATATCATCTGACAATATTCTCATGACTTACAAATATTTCACATAATCTTAAGCTATTCAGAAATAATTGGCATTATATAAAGAGCATAAAAATTGAAACCCTAGCCACAAACAGATATTTTACAAAAAACTACTTAATCAGTTTATTTTTTTATTGATCTTAAAGGCTTTGAACTGAATGTGTAACTAATCCACCTCTGTGGGCTAGAAAAACATAAAATACTGAAAATTTGCCACAGATAGATTTGCTAGAAGAAACTACTTAATCGGTTTATTTTTCTAATAGATCTTATAGTTTCAAAGTCAAGGCATAAGTAATCCAGCAATGTCAGCTAAGAGAATACCTCTCGTGGAAAGTGGTGGTATGTCTTCTGAGGAAAATAAGTATAGTATGGAGGTAAATGAGGCACCATATCATGTGCATTTGTTACTCGTATACTGTTTGGTACAAGTGTACTATAGTATGATGCAAAAGCTGCATTACCAATACGAGGTTGTCCAAATGTCATAACTTGAACATTTTTCTCTTTCTGATTGACCTGGGAATTAAAAAAAAAAAACCATTCAATGTTACCGGTTTGAAGAACATGCTTCCAGAATAGACTACAATTTCAGCAAGCAGTGAATGCAATTAAACTATTCAAACACCCCTCTGGAATAAGTTCAACATTTATACCATTCAAGAAATGTTGTTGGCATACTAACATATCTTGATCAGTTAAAATGAAAGGGGAAAAAAAAAAAAAAAAAAAAACCAATCAAAGCTCAATTGGCAATAACCAAGTTATAAAACACATGAGTCAGGCTCTGACAGGTATACTGACGACCGAAAACAAGATGAACGGTAGTGAAAGAAAAACTCAAACATATCTTGCAAAATGGAGACTGGCTTAATTATGATTACCCTTAGATCAAGAGCACAAAATGAAGCCATTGCCCCTCCCATTGAATGTCCTGTAACTATGATGCCAATATCTCCATAATATTCCCTGGCTATTTCCACAGCATTTAGAATTCCAGGGCGTATGGTTGTGTTGTGGTAAGCACTATAAAACCCGTGGTGCACCTAAAACAGAAAAAGAATGAGAACTGATACTTTACATTCCAGCAAGTAACAAAGTAGAGAAACTTTACTGCAATACCATTGCATCAGGCATGCCAGGGTAATCTAGATCAAGTTGTTGCCAAAATAAGTCTTCAATCCAATTCTGTATGCTGTACACATAAAGCAAATCCACAAATAAGTCTTCAATCCAATTCTGTATGCCCATAGAGATACATATAGTGTATTTAAAGGAAAAGCAAACAAACGTAGATATAATTTTCCATTACATTCTGAATCCACATCCTTATTCATTGTATGTTTCAATTTTCTCTTCACCTATGTCATAGTTTGGGCTCAATAACTAATTCAGCAGAAACTTTAATTGAGAATGATAAATACTCTAGCACCGCACCTGTGTTCCTGAGTCCCTCTAAATGCAATTATAATAGCATTGGGATCTTGTGCCACTCCAACAAAAGCCTGGAAAAAGTAATGACTATGTCATACAGAGGCAGCAAAGAAATAACTTTAACACAAAAAACCAGGCTGAACTATGAAATTGCACCTGTAAGCAATGCTGGACATCAACAATAATCTCTATCATTTCAAACCCCTGTTCCATTGAAATGAGGAATAAGGGCAACGATTTTCAAGCATAAGAATTTCAAATTAATCAGATACGCCTCAGTACCTTAATCAAATCATTACAGCATGAGCATGTCCAAGTAAACAGCTCTGACAAATCTGACAAATAAACCTACAAGAGCAGAAATTGATTTCAATTGTTACGGACCTTATAGCAGGTACATACTCTAATAATTCAAATCTTGACATATAATCCAGAAAATCTCCATTTGGTTTCCTCATTGTTTAGAAAGATTCAATACTTCCCATAAACCAACCTTTTTCTATGTCACAATTACAACATACCATGACTGACAAGTGACAACGCTTATGGTAAAGATTTGCAAGGGAAATGGTGAGGCTAAATGTTTCTGTAACATAAATTTTTACAAACCAAATCCCCATAAATGGTGACACAAGCAAAAATCTGATGAAACTTACTGTAGAAGCATATCGCACTAGTATAGTGGCAAGCGTATGATTGTATATGGGGCCATGATCGTTGTGCTTAATTTTCAGTTCTGCATTTGTAAGAAGAAATTACTCCCCGTTAAAATGGGTCCGAGAAGTTCAAAATAACTAAATTCTGCTTCCAACTATTTTGATCTATAATTCTGCACACCCCAAAAACAAAAACGAAACAAAAATACACAAAGAATCTGATGTACACCACCAGTTTATAATGGTACAGTTCCCATCACATATTATCTTCTCCTAAGTAAATATAGAACCTCTTTAGTCCCTAACAGACTGATACCAAACCATCCTTTAGTAATCTATGAGAAGGTAAAACCAACAAGCACCACATTGTTGCAAAGGCATTCATAGACAGTTTGCAAATTATTTTCTAAATAGCACTTCTATTCATAAGTGCTTTTATTGAAAGTGCTTCTATTAAATGGATTTCATAAATCACCACTCCAGGAAGCACTTTCACTTTCAAAACTGCGAAGCACTTTTAACTTTCTCTACCAAACCTTGTCATAAGGGCTTTTGGTTTGCTTAGCTATTCTAAAAGCACTTCCAAACTAGAATAATGACTCTAATGACCCATTGAATCCCCTGAACTAATTCTTCTCCAACCATCAAATTCCCTTCAAACCCAATTTACAATTTCGATATACACAACGAAAAAGCCTCTAATCAACCGCCATGAACATAAACATGTTTAATAAAACATAAAAGATAAAACTTTTGATGCAAAAATTGAAAATTTACCTCTCCCAGCAGAGAAAACAAACATCCACGTTAATATTACCAATACCAGCCATCTTCTTTTCTCCATGGCCTGATAATTTCACAGCAAATAAAAACAAATTAGGGCACAATTCAGCAATTATTACTTTCAAACAATCAGAAAATTAGAGAAACCGACCACCGCCACGACGTCCCACTCCACTCACCCCACCCAGCAGCGGCTTCGGAGCTCCGAAGACTATCGAATTTAGGTGGATTTTGCGACCGTGCAACCGTGGTATGATCGCGACGCACCGTTTCGAAGATCTTGCTGTGGTGGTTGGCAACGCGGTAAGATTGTAGAGGGAGACCGAGGAAAAGCAGTTGACGAGGCAAATGAGAAAACTAGTTAGTTCGTTTTGTGTAGACTTCCGAAATTATCCTTTATCTATCTGTTCCTTAGCCGTTGATCTTGTCTCTAAGTGTTTTTGAGGGCCACGATTGGAGGGTAATTACGATACATTGCCGGTGTTTGAAGCGTGTGGAATTGCACGTGCTGATGTGTATTTTAATTTCGTATAGGATTCGGTTTGGATCACATGAATTTTCCCCCTTGCTAATTTTTTTCAACAACCTTGCTAATCATTATATTTTTTTTATTTGTTGACCAATTTTATCATGTCAACATATCTTTTGATCGTATGTGAACTTATTTTGTTCTTCGATATAATTGATATTTTATTTTAAATTATTTAAAAGTACATAGATGAAGTTTTGAACGAGAGAAAACACACTTGCTCTAAGTAATGTATTTATGTTTGCGCCTCTATATGTAAATCAATTAGAAGCAAACTACGTCAAAAATAAGTCTAGGTTTGTATTAGCCTTACGATTCTTAACTTCCCAATATTGAAAAACATCTCTTTAATTCGAATCCTCGTTTTATTAAATAAGGAAAAAGTTAAGTCAAGATTTTGATAAATGAAACTCAATTGTATCTCAATCAAATTGAGAAAGTATAGTGGTACTATTTTATTAAAGGAATAAATTTTGTATGGATACTTTGGAGTATGGAGAAAGGGAATTTTGTGAAATGTCAAATGAATTTTTTTTCAATTTGTCATATGAACTCAAATTTTAAGCGATCTGTCATGTCAACTTTCTAAAATCTTTAATTTTGTATCTTATCTTAACTCCGTTAAGCTTTCTATCTAGCACAAAAAGGGGTTGAGCTGTGATGATTTGATGGTTTCCTATTCAAAAAAGGGGAAAGATATACACACTTTTTTATGTGTTTCAAATTGAAGATGGCTAAAAATATGGAAATTGTTATTGACATTTTAAAAATCTTATTTTACACTCCAAACTTTTTATAATTAGAAAAAAAAACACTTGTAATGAGTGTATATTGAAATTTCTAGAGTGCTAATAACAGTTCCCAAAAATATAGTCATTAAGGACCATCCAATCTATGGTAAAGTTGGATGAAATTTTTCATGTTGCCCTTGTTTGTGACAATGAGATTTTGATTCTTCTGCTTGTGGACTAATACTTTTTTATTATCATTGCAATGAAATAAAAGAGATTGCCATGATTGACTACGACCTTTTTATGGACATCATGGACCACGTTGAATTCTCAAATCTTTCAATTAACTACAACTCCACTTTAGTAAGTCAAATGTACATTTTTGGTAGTTCATCGTAAATATTTAATTAGTCAAAATTTAAGGGTTTAGAATAAAGGAAAACTAATGTAAAGTTCAAAAAACTTCCCTTTTAATGAAAAGCCATTTTTAAAGGTATAGTTAATAGTATCAATGAAATGTATAAATATGGTTTTTCGTTAAAAGTGAACATTACTGTGAGTGTTTTGTTAAATCTCCCTTAGAATAAAGAGAAGTCAAGAATTTATGAAAATGAAATCTGAAAGAACTTTGAACATAAGTCATGTGCGAGGCACATTATTTATTTTATATGAAAAACTTAACGGAGTTAGAGTGATTAAATATTTTTGGGAACTGTTATTTTGTGCGAGACACATTATTTATTTTAGATGACAAATTAATGATTTTAGAAAATTAATATGACAAATCGCTTAAACTTAAGTTCATATGACAAATTGAAAAATGATGTATAAGTTAATTCGATATTACAAAATAAAAATCTCATTAAAAAAAGAGAGTTTCTCTCAATACTCTGGCATTCCAGAATTCTACAAGGTGACCATTCATGATTCCTTAACATATATCACGAGGAAGCTGTAACATAAAATAAAGTTGATCGACGACCGTCGACTGCTGTTGTAACTTGTAAATGTAACAATGGAAGGTATGGATGCACGTTTGACTCACAACGCGATACAACTTTTAGGTGTTGGTGTGAATGGGCAAATTTTCTTATGGTACCCCAGTTGGGAAATGCTTCGGGGCACCACTTTGCTAACTAATTACAGATGCACCTCCACTTCGATTGATCGATCCCAAACCGGCTGATGAGGGAAAGGAAATAAAGCCGATAGAATTTCGATGCTCAAGGTGTAGGCTGTGCGTTCAGTGTTGGTTTTATAACTTTTTATTTCATCATTCCCTCTTTTTGTTGTATCTTCTAATTAGGATTGGTTTTCTTTCTCCGTTTCTACTTAGTTTTCTATGGTCGTCTCTTTTAACCAACTTAATGGAGTTGGTTTAGTGGAAAACGAGTAACAATTTGGAACTCCAATCCAGGTTTCAATCCTTACGAATGCATTTTTTTAGGATTACGAACTCTGTTTTGGTGTATCGTTTGCCTCAAGGACAAAAATATGATATCTCCTGATGTGGTACTGGAACTGCATAGAAAGAACATTGGTTTATTATCTATGAGTGATGGAATACCTCCTATGTTTTTAACTTTAAAAAAAAAAAAACCATATATAAATCATATATATTGTTTTCATACGAAGAATAAGACATAACTTAGAATTTGTATATTTTGTTAACTTGGTCTTGAAGTAATTACGCACTAAGTAAACTCAATAATTTGAGTCAACAAATCATTACCTCCTAATATAGAATAACGTTTCTAATAAGAAGAATAAACTCGAAATTTCGAGTTAACAGATCGTGGCTTCCTAACATTAAAAAAACATCGAGCCCTTAGACCCAAAAGGGCATTCAAACCCAAAAAAAAAAAAAAAAAAAAAAAAAAAGTTTGAGGCGATGACCCGGGAACCCGACCTATGAGGTACAGGACCAACGACCCAATTACACAGCAGCGGGAAATCACACTTTTCAATTGGCGGGAAATTCTGATGTTTCCCACCAACGCTTTTCTAAACCGCACATCTCAGTTTCCAAATCGGACGGCTGTAAACACATCTATTTAATAACCTCCTCCGCCCCGAAGCACACCACTCTCGCAAAATTTTCAAAGGTTTCAACTTTTCATTATTTTTCGCCCAGGGGCTTCAAAAATCCAAAATTTAGAGCCGGCCCCTCTCTCTCTTCTCTTTTTATCTCTCACTCTTCTCCTCTTTCATCACGAAACCCTCGATCTGAGAAATTAACAACCGCCATGGCGAGAGCTTCGAAGCCGCAGGTTTCGTCCGACGAAGCCCTATCCAACGGCTCCAATTCGTCCGACGAAGAGCCGATCAACGACCAGGAGGAGGACGAGGTCGATGAGGAGGAGCTCGAAGCCGTTGCTCGCCCCGCTGACTCCGACGACGACGAGGTCGCCGCCGACGAGAACTCCCCTGGCTCCGACGATGACGTGCCGGTCGATGAGAACGACGATGATGGTTTGGATGAAGAAGAGGTATAACATTTATGATTTTGCCATCGCGGTAGTGTCTACGGTGGTGCTTTGTTCGTTCTTTTCACTGGATCTGAGTTGTGAGGTGTTACTGCTTGAATGTGCTTGGGTTGTTGCAAATTGAAAGTTGGGAATTTGTTGAGCTAGGGTTTTGGCGGTCTAGGGATCGGTTACTTTTCCTCCTTTTTTGGGATAGAAGAATGATAACTTCTCAAAATTATTTATCTTTTGGTGGATAATAGTTCTCAATTGCATATTGTACTTGGGTTTGAGCCTTTAAGGTTTGCTGGTTTAAGTGCCAAAGCATTTCGGCACACCTTTTCTGACCAAAGGTTCTGTTTTTCCTGCAGGATGATGAAGCTAATTTGAGTAATGCTGAAATTGGAAAACGTGAGAAGGCGAGGCTCAGAGACATGCAAAATATGAAGAGACAAAAGGTTCAGGAAATATTGGATGCACAAAATGCAGCCATTGAGGCTGACATGGTGAGTGCATTGGAAAGGTTAATACAGTGCTGCGTTTGTACTTGTTATTGGATATATAGTCCTTTTTATAAGGTAGCTGATTTTATTTTGGTGTTGGTTTAATTGCAGAACAATAAGGGGAAGGGACGGTTGAAGTATCTTCTGCAGCAAACAGAGTTATTTGCCCATTTTGCTAAAGGTGACCCATCTGCATCTCAGAAGAAAGTGAAGGGAAAGTAAGTTCAATAATCATTGAAGAGTCTTGCGTATTCAATCTATACTATCATGTCATTGATTATTGTGTTCGGAAATTTATTTGCCTTGAAGAGATAAATAATTGAATTTTTGAGCTCGAATTTCTTTTGTTTAAAAAAGTAGGATGAATGCCTTTAATTGGTTATGATTATTGCATGAGTGAAGTAAGATTTTAAAAGTTCTTACGGGTGCTTACTTGTTTAATTACAAATTTAGAGGTCGCCATGCTTCCAAAATAACTGAAGAGGAAGAGGATGAAGAATGCCTTAAGGAGGAAGAAGATGGTTTGGCTGGGGCTGGAACCACACGGCTTTTGACACAACCTTCTTGTGAGAGATTTTTCTTAAATCTAGTTGATTTTCTCTAGCTTTCAGAAGGCTGTATTCAAATGACGTACTTCACAGTTTTAAGTTTAAGACTTGATTTTCCTTTTCCCTTTTGTTCAGGTATTCAGGGGAAGATGAGGGATTACCAACTGGCTGGATTGAACTGGCTCATTCGACTCTATGAAAATGGTATAAATGGAATCCTTGCAGATGAAATGGTAAGCACCAATTTGCGGCTAATGGGGTTAAATCTTTCCTTTCTTCCATGTATTGAATTGTGTATTTACTTTGTGTGAGCTGTCTTAATGATGAATATGTTTTGTTCTCTTCCATCAGGGGCTTGGTAAAACATTGCAAACCATCTCCTTATTGGGATACCTGCATGAGTTTAGAGGAATAACTGGTCCTCATATGGTAGTTGCTCCAAAGTCGACTCTTGGAAACTGGATGAATGAGATTCGGCGTTTCTGCCCCATCTTGCGTGCTGTGAAGTTTCTTGGTAATCCTGATGAAAGAGTAAGTCATTCTTGTGTGATTTGTATGGGCGAGTTATTTATGTTCTGGATACTGTGTTCAAGATTTCATTACTTTCTATATCTTGCAGAAGCATATACGTGAGGACCTGCTGGTTGCCGGGAATTTTGATGTATGTGTTACAAGTTTTGAAATGGCCATCAAAGAGAAGACCTGCTTACGCCGTTTTAGCTGGCGTTATATAATAATTGATGAAGCTCATCGTATCAAGAATGAGAATTCACTGCTTTCAAAAACAATGAGGCTGTATAATACTAACTTCCGCCTCCTAATTACGGGTACACCACTTCAGGTATGAATTCTGATCTTTCTTTGATTTTTGGGACATGCTACATGCTGGATTAATTTTGATTGATGATGTTTTATTTATGCTTATCTAGCATGACACTTGAAAGTTTACAATCTTTTCTGCCTGGATGTAATTTTTGGAGGGTAACCTGTGTTAAATTTAATTTTAAAGTAGCAAGAATATTCCTTTTAAGCATGCTTGATTTTTTTTTTTTTCTGCGGTTTACTTGCAGAATAATCTTCACGAACTATGGTCTCTGCTTAACTTTCTCCTGCCAGAGATATTTAGTTCTGCTGAAACTTTTGATGAATGGTTTCAAATATCTGGTGAGAACGACCAGCAAGAGGTTGTTCAACAGCTTCACAAGGTAGGCCTAACGGCATCTCAACGGTTGAGTACAGTATTTGGTCCTCCTGCTTTATGATTGTAATATCTCACCTTGATTTATTCTTCTTTAAGGTCCTCCGGCCATTTCTTCTTAGAAGGTTGAAGTCAGATGTTGAGAAAGGTTTGCCTCCGAAAAAAGAAACAATACTCAAAGTAGGTATGTCACAAATGCAGAAACAGTACTACAGGGCTTTATTACAGAAAGATCTTGAAGTTGTTAATGCTGGTGGAGAACGTAAGCGCCTTCTGAACATAGCAATGCAGCTTCGTAAGTGCTGTAATCATCCTTATCTTTTTCAAGGTGCTGAGCCTGGGCCTCCTTATACGACTGGAGACCATCTCATCACAAATGCTGGTAAGCTTGACATTTTAAAATTCATTGACCTTCATTGATGCATATTGTTTGTTTGATCATCAAACTCATCCTTGTTAAATTTTCAATTGTAGGTAAAATGGTTCTTTTGGATAAGTTGCTTCCAAAGTTAAAGGAGCGTGATTCTAGGGTCCTAATATTTTCACAGGTTAGTTCTGTTCTGTAAAATCATTATACTTTCATGTTGAGTGTAAGCAAATACATTGCAAGTTGCAATGCATGCCCAGAGATGTATCTCAATTGTGTTATATGGTCCTTGGTTTAAATGTCAGATGACTAGGCTGCTAGATATCCTTGAAGATTATTTAATGTTACGGGGTTACCTGTATTGTCGGATTGATGGCAATACTGGCGGAGAAGATCGTGATGCTTCTATTGATGCCTTCAACAAGCCTGGAAGTGAGAAATTTGTATTTTTGCTATCGACCAGAGCTGGAGGACTTGGTATTAATCTTGCCACTGCAGATGTTGTCATCCTTTATGATAGTGATTGGTGAGCATCTTTATCATTTTCTTTGTACTGATAGTCATTGTTGTTCTGTCTGCATGTCTATGCCTCAGCTGTTTGATATGCTTTAACATGTGATGTGTTGTAGGAACCCTCAAGTTGATTTGCAAGCACAAGATCGTGCTCACAGGATTGGTCAAAAGAAAGAAGTTCAAGTGTTCCGGTTCTGCACTGAGGTATGAATGTGTTCTGATCTGAAACATTTCAAACTATGTAATGTTAGTATATGGGTAGTTCCTCACAGTGAATCGTTTACATTTGAAACAGTATACTATTGAAGAAAAAGTTATTGAGAGGGCTTATAAAAAGCTTGCTCTTGATGCTTTGGTGATTCAACAAGGGCGCTTAGCAGAGCAAAAAAGTAAGCAACGCAATTTTTTCTAAGATCTTTAAAATAAGCATATACACAAATTTATTCCCTTTAATTCTGTTCTTCTTGTATGCAGCTGTTAATAAAGATGAGTTACTTCAAATGGTGAGGTTTGGTGCTGAAATGGTCTTCAGTTCCAAGGATAGCACCATTACAGATGAGGACATAGATAGGATTATTGCTAAAGGAGAAGAGACAACTGCTGAGCTTGATGCAAAGATGAAAAAATTTACTGAAGATGCTATCAAATTTAAGATGGATGATAGTATGTTTGTCAATTTATTGTTGTTGTCCTTTATCCATTTGATTATATTTTTGTTATTGCAATCGATGTTAAAATGGAAATTGCAATTTTCTAATGTTGGTGCTGTTTCTGCAGCTGCTGAATTGTATGACTTTGATGATGAAAAGGTTGGCATTATTCTTTTAATTTTCTTTTTCTGTCAAGTTTTTATGGTTATGGTATATTTCATTTGGCTTACCTTCATCTTTGTGATTTATAACTCATTTTATGTGTATCTTTTTACCTGATGAAGGATGACAAGCTTGATTTCAAGAAAATTGTTAGCGATAACTGGATTGAACCACCAAAAAGAGAGCGGAAGCGCAAGTACGGATTTTACCTGTCTGCCTCTTTACTTTGCATTTACTTGCTCCTAGTTTCTAATTCTGAATTTTTGTGCTTTCGTTATTAGTTACTCAGAGTCTGAATACTTTAAGCAAACAATGCGCCAAGGTGCTCCAGCAAAACCGAAAGAGCCTCGAATTCCACGCATGCCTCAATTGTAAGTGCCTCCGTATCCTAGCTGTTGACTGATTCTCATCCGTGTTGTGTTCTTTGACCTTTTAAAATGTTCAATAATATTTATGGTCTATTCTGCCTTTTTGTCTCTAGACATGATTTCCAATTTTTCAACACACAAAGGTTGAATGAGCTGTATGAAAAGGAAGTACGGTTCCTCATGGTATGTACAAGTGAACTCTTATTTTCATCTCTATTTATGGCTTGAGATGTATGCCTTTGCACCCTATTTATCTATCTTAATTCTATTGAAAAATTCACAGCAAACTCATCAGAAGAATCAGTTGAAAGATACAATAGAGGTGGAGGAACCAGAAGGTATTTATTGTTTTTCATATGAATCGAGTCCATGTGCTTTTGTGTTTTCTGCTATTCCATCTGCTAACTGCATGTACAAATGTTTAGAAGTTGGAGATCCCTTGACTGCTGAGGAGGTGGAAGAAAAGGAAAGCCTGTTAGAAGAGGCAAGTATAATATATGCTGCAAATGAGGTTCTCGTCAAGGTTTTCTTTATTGAGCTTTTTAATTGGTCAATTTCAGGGTTTCTCTACTTGGAGTAGAAGAGATTTTAATACCTTCATTAGGGGCTGTGAGAAGTATGGCCGTAATGATATAAAAAGCATTGCTGCCGAGATGGAAGGGAAAACAGAGGAGGAAGTTGAAAGATACGCAAAGGTTTTTAAAGAAAGATACAAGGAGTTAAATGGTAAGTGGTATCCAACAGTTGTGTGTTGTAGGGTTAGGTAGACAATGTCGTTGGTTAAGGTCCGAGGTTCTATTTGGAAATGTTGAAAGGCAGGATTTGGAATTGGTATCCTTAATTTAAACACACTATCTACATGCAACATGAATTGGTTTTAAATCTAAATAATCCGACCAAAAAACATGATTTTATTCCCGGTCGTCCAGGTATGAATTTCATATCATTCGACTGGCAAATCAGAAAAAAACCATACTTTGTAATTGAGCTGACTTGGGACGCTTATGTTTATATATGTACATTATACATACAATGTCCTTTGGTTTTGTTTAGCGAGCTGTTAAGATTTTGGAACCTTAGATTCCAAATTGTTGACTCTATTGGTGCTTTCAGATTATGATAGGATCATTAAGAACATTGAAAGAGGTGAGGCTAGAATTTCCCGCAAAGATGAGATCATGAAAGCCATTGGGAAGAAGTTGGATCGTTACAAGAATCCATGGCTGGAATTGAAAATCCAGTATGGTCAAAACAAGGGGAAGTTGTACAATGAAGAATGCGATCGTTTCATGGTACAGTTTGAGACTATAGCTTCTGTTCTATACAAACTTCTGATTTTTGATGTTTAATCTCTAGTGGTTTTTCGTGTCTATTATACTACAGATATGCATGGTTCACAAACTTGGGTATGGGAATTGGGACGAATTGAAGGCAGAATTCCGCACATCACCCTTGTTTCGTTTTGATTGGTTTGTGAAGTCTCGCACAACTCAGGAACTCGCTAGGAGGTGTGATACATTAATTAGATTGGTTGAGAAAGAGAACCAAGAATACGATGAGAGGGAGAGACAGGCCCGCAAAGAGAAGAAGCTTGCTAAGGTTTGAAGGCACCAAATGCACACATTTGTTCTGTGCTTTATTTTTTGTTTTTCGTTCCTGGTCTAGTGCCAAGCTTGTTCTAAAGCAAATGTCCCAAATTAGCGAATGCGTTATCATGTATCATGTTTTGTTTCAGAGCATGACACCATCAAAGCGGGCCTTGGGTAGACAGCCAACTGAGAGCCCAAATTCTGGAAAGAAGAGGAAGCAATTAACCATGGATGATTATGTCAGCTCGGTATGTTTCTTTTGTCGAGTTGCAGAATTTGTCCTTTTAAATGTTGGCTGATGGCTTGAATAATTGAAATTACTAATTTTTGCAGGGAAAGAGGAGGAAATGATCAAACATTAAGATCCTGGATGTTCTTGGGTGCTGAGACATCCAGATATTTCAGCATCGAAAAGCATGGAGCGTTAGAGTTTAGGCTTTTAGTTTCATTTTCACCCGATGTTTTTGGGATCACGGTCAGGCTTCAACATAACCTGTGGTCTTGGTAGCGCCCGTGATCTTATTGCGTAAGGGTTGGCTGAATTATAAAGATGTATAAACAAGTAGACTAGTTCTGATTTACACAATGTTTTGAACACCATGGATGTCATTCAATGAGATGTATCTTTGGTTAATTCTTTCCGTCTGCACTTGCAGTAAATATTTCTTTTCCAGAGGGCAGGAAGCTTGATTTATACTATTATCGTGTGACTACTGTCTTGCACTCAAGTTTGAATCTTTGCCGTAGTTTTTAATGGCGTAGGCTTTCATGGGGACAAAACATCAATTGTTTGATAATACCGGCAGACGTGAGTTGAGTAAGGTTGGCTGCCGACCTGGAGGGCCTCTCTCGTCGATGGTTTTCCAGCAAGGGTTTGGTGGTCTAATTAGAATGTTGTTAAGTGGTAACCATAGAGGTAGCGATAACTTTCAGCAAAAGTAGAGCATGAAAACCAATATTTTGCAGTAGCATTTTTGTAAATTGAACAACGAAGACGATGGAAAAACACAAAGAAAGTGAAAATAGCTTCACGAAAGGAGGGAATTTTACATGGGATCAAACGTTTCTGTATAGGCCGAAAACATGACTCAGAAATCCATCCATACACGAGATTGTATGACAGTAGAAAGATGTAACACCATCATCCAAACCAAACTCACTAATTCCCCAAAATGTACAGGCTACACATCATATGGGGCAAAAATTACACATCATTCCGACAACTCTCCCTCCTGTAATACGAGCATCGGAAAATTAATACAAAAGACCAAAATGTTGCATACAACCATTCTGTTGTCGGGCGCTACCCGAAAATCATTAAACTACCCCCATTCCTCCAATCCCTTTCTCTTACCGTGTTTCTTCCTTCATCGCAATACCTGAGCATTCAGTTTCCATACTCAACTACAAGAATGATATCACAAGCAAACGGTAGCCAAAGCCGGAGGATGACAGAGCACGTATTCCCTCAGTGAGCATGGACACCAATATGTAAACGATGAATCTAGCTCTTGCAATTTCTCTTTCATCGCAATGTTCCCCCAGTAACTTACAACACATTTTTCCTCGGAAGAAAATTTTACTTGCGTTGTTGCTGCATTCACTCATTTGTACCGTCAAAGCTACCCATCGCATTTGCTCGCTTCTTTTCTCTCCAATTTTCGCCCCAAACCTTTGCCTCAGCCACTGCACGTTCTCTATCTAGATCACGGTTTCTTGGAGTTTCCCGTGCTCTCCCAGCACTTTGTGGGCTGTCTCTCTGAGACTCTTGTCGTTCCAACCCATCTAAACCCCATCTTCTCCCAGACCCAGTGCCAGTTTCAATCCTCCCTAATTCTACGCCGGTATTCAAGTCCCTATTGGGGTCTCTTTTTCTGAAATCAGGTGAGTTTTTATGCGTAGCAGGAGAACCATGTCGCCCACCACGTACATATTCATCTGGGCTATCTAGCCCATCTCCCATGTTCCTTCGTTCATCCCTGTGCCTAGGGGTAGATGAACCACCTCTGTTGCTAGGAGTAGTGGCTGCATTTGGATCATATGTTTGGGAGGCTAAGTACGTGAGAGCAGTCACAACATCCCCTATTAGAGGCCTTGTAGCCGCTTGTTCCTGCAAACACATGGCTGCAACAGCAAGAGCTTGGTAGAGCCCTCGCATTGGGTAACGGCCTTGCAATAGTGGATCAGCCATTTTCGGGAACTTCCTACGATCCTTGAAAAGTGGCCGTGCCTGTAAACCGAAGATCCACAAAATGAAAAGACGAAAACAAAGGAAAGCGCTTCAAGTGAATTCGCGGAGTCATAAAAACTTAACTAAAGAAATATCGACAACTAAAATTCTAAAAATGACAAATGCATACTTACCCATGCAACAAGATTATGCTCTCCAGGACCTCGGTCATTATCAATGGCTTTTCTCCCTGTAATAAGTTCAAGGAAGACGACTCCAAAACTGTAGACATCAGACTTCAGAGTGAGTTGGCCAGTCATAGCATATTCTGGAGCACAGTAGCCATATGTTCCCATCACACGGGTGGACACGTGCGTCTTGTCACCAACGGGACCTAGTTTTGCAAGCCCAAAATCAGATAACTTTGGGTGAAAGCCCTCGTCAAGAAGGATGTTTGACGACTTCAAGTCTCTGTATATGACGGGAGGGTTTGCTTTATCATGCAAGTATTCCAAACCCTTAGCTGCACCAGCTGCAATCTTCATTCTTGTATTCCAGTCCAGGGGCTCCTTGTCTGATGGAAGATCTGAACAAGTAAAAGAGAAGCAATCTGGATGATTTAAAGCAATTTTACGCATAGAAAACAAACTTCAGATTTGCAAGTAATAAAGAGATTTGAAGGGAGAAGAAATTGTTCAAGAAAAAAAGGGATAATGATACTGCAAAATTAGGGTTTTGGTGATAAGACTGAGCACAATATTTACTGGTGCTTCTCGGTGCACTTAATTAAGTAGTACTTAGATCTCCACATATTCGGGGTATGGCATCAAACACAAAAACTTCCCTCTATTTCTAGAACCCTAGCAGTTGTACGAGAGACAGGTAATTAATGGTTGACTTGTAGAATCAAATAAGAATGACCTGACACATGTGTCAATGAAGTGATTTGTACATGTGAAATGTAGGAATAGCGGCATATGTATGCGCATTCTTCCATGTCATCATTGAATCATATCCTCCCTTCGAATGTTAGATGTTAGAAAAGTAATCAGTTTGCAGCAAAGGCCAGTAACCGTCAATTAACATATTCTTTCTTTAACATAGAAGTATTTAGAAGTTCACTTGTTAGTACTGTGAAAGGTTTCCTAGGGATACTTAGTAAACTTGAACCCAGGTCTTAATAGTTGACCATCAGAAGAGCAGTTCATATCGTTGGAGCAGGTCTTGATAGGATTCTGTACATATCCCATGTGCATCACAGTGCGCCTTTCTTAGCCTACTAGTATCCTAAATGTACACATTCCATGGACTGACAAATATGAAAAATATGAAATTTGGAACTTTCACTACTCAAAACAAGCCTAGAACTACAACAGAAACACAATGCCACGCCAATGCAATAAACCCAAAGAGCTATTCCAGAAGTCATAAGCCAATGAGGAGCTAGATGGCTAGATTACAGAACTTAGAATTATAAAGCATTCCCATATCTTCTCCAATAATTTTTTTTATCACTGGCTTTTCTGATTTGAATCCCGCAACTCACTATGGAAAGCATAATCAAATATGAAAACAATGCACAACAACACTATGACTTTGACCAAAAAAGGAACTCATGCAGCGTAACCAAGGGATTATGCTAGCAGTTGAGTGTGGAGCCGAAGACGGAATAGTAAAATAAATAGCAGGAATGACTAATTAAGTAATTAATCATCACTCATCAGCATTCCCATCTACTTCAGTGACGGTAATCTATTATAGCTGAATCCCTGATTAACTCTTGTTTCATGTGAGAAATGTTGCCATAAAAGAAACCCTAAAATCCTAGTGCAAGATCATAAGATCGCCTTAAGGAAACTAACATTCGTGGACTAACACAGGCAGAACAAGTTATCGAGAATACGTATTTAATATAAGATGCATCACCACTAAAAAAGGAAGAGTCATTATCTTTTTCTATGGTAAAAAGAGAAATTCAATCTGACCGTGTAAATGATCCTCCAAGGATCCCAATGGCATAAACTCATAAACAAGGAGGCGTTGATCCCCATCAGCACAATAGCCTATCAAGTTGACAAGGTTTGGGTGATGCAGAAGGCTGAGCATAAGAACCTCCACCAAAAACTCTCGATTTCCTTGAAGGCCATTCCGGTCAAGTTGTTTCACGGCAACTACCTGGCAACAAATAATTCCATAGGGGACATCTATCATGGACTAGATATAAAATTAGCAATTGACGTTACAAATAAATTCTGCACATCATCTTTGGAAAATGCAAAATGTGCTAAAATGCTTAATAAGTTCCTAAATCTTACAGATTGTATAAATGACTCAGAAAAACACTTAAACATGCTTTGATGATGTTTCTTCATTTAATTCCAAACCAATCAACCTACCTGTCCTGTGCTCTCCAAGCGACCTTTATAGACGTGTCCAAAACCACCTTCACCCAACAAACATTCTGGCCTAAAATTCTTCGTTGCAGCTGCGAGCTCTCGGAAGGTAAATGTCTGTGCAGCAATGTGTGCTGTCGAGCCATCTTTTGGAATAGGTGGCTCCTTCTTGGGATCAGAACCATTCCGAGCCTTTTTGTCTGCAAAAGGAGCAAAGAAGTTAAAAAGGCCTTTGGTTAACAATGAAACTATGATACACAGGAGCCAAGATAACATCTTCCTGAAGTTATAGCTATTCAGTAGCCTAACGGACATTCATAAATATGGGAAGAAAGAAAGAAAAAAAGAGGAAGGATAATGGTTGAACCGGCCTATATGTTACTTCAATGCAAATGCAGAAGCAAACACCTCAGAATCAAATTCCTAACAACGACAATTACTCCATGCTGTTGCACACATAAAATGTCACAACAGTTATTCCATGAACATGTCAATTTAAAGCTTAAAACATGAAATCTAAATTTTTGTTACTTTAACTTATCAGAATCTCTCTCTCACTCACATTTGAAAGTCAAAGAATGAACACGAAACGCTATAAACCGAAAGAAAAATGCTCGAAACTTCAAGAACTAATCGTAGATCTCCATCAAGTTCAAATTCAAACAACACATACGAGAAAATCAACAAACAAGGAATTACTCCAACAGAGAAACCATAAAAACCCCAATTACCAAACCAACCAAAACCATCCAACAACCACAGATGCATCAGATCAACCCAATTACAAATTCTACCAGCAACCCATGATTACAAAACACCATAAAACCCAAAAAAGAAATCACAAAATTCAGCACAACCACACTCCACCAATCAAAAACCAAAGAAACCCTGAAAAAATAAAAACACAATTCTGAAAAAATAAAAAATTGGAGAGAAATTTTCACCAGAGCTAACTCTTGTAACACGGTGAGACTGAGCAGCTGAGCCTTCTTTAATTGATGAGTCCTTCCTGGTCACTTCCTTGACACCACCACCACCACCACTGCCCTCTTTGTTTTTGGATGACCCAAA